GATTATTTTGAACTGGATTTGCACTCCCTTACTGTTTGAATATTTGTTACACGCTGCCTGAGCATATGAGTTTCTGTACTATGTACTGGTAGTACAATTAAGCCCCAGCCCACAGTTGTTCATATCACACAAAAAGGGGATTGTATTTTGGTGTTTTTGGCGCTAATTTAGAGCTAGGGATAATTGTCATATTCTATGAATCAAGCAATATGATTGGTTAATTAGATAATAAAAATTCTCAACATTGGTACGAGGTTGTTGTGGTGTTAAATATTGCGTGCAATTTATAACAGGTTATGAGTCAAACTTTTGCGAGCCGTTTTTAATATTCAGCTAAAGCTTTGCTTGCTTGTTAATTCTACCAAAGCACCAATCAGAATTTGAGAGTCCATTAGCCGGAAAGGGTTTTCTTTTGTCTTTCCATACATGTGCATATTGTATGTGTTTCTTGCCAGAGAACCTTTTCCGGCTACTTGATTTCTCTGCGCACGGAATTTTCCAAAAAACTCATTAACACAACCTCCAGCATAGGGACCTGTCACCTCTTTAGTTCAACACTTTAACCAACACTAACAGCGCGAGTGACATACAAGACCTCTTCATTATAACAAGGACAGGGGCATCCGGAAGTCTCGGATTGATTGACCGAATGCTTTAGAAGAAACACTAGATCTAAGCAACAGCGAAAAATTGATCTAAGCAACACTGAAAAATCGTTGTGAAAATTAGCGAGCCTCCATATCAGCAGCCTCATATCAGCGTCCTCCGTATCAGCAGCTTCTCTGTACTAGTATCAGCAGCCTTGTATCAGCAGCCTCCGTATCAGCACCAGCCTTGTATCAGCGTCCTCCTCCGCATCAGCGCCTCCTCTGTATCAGCAGCTCCTCCGTATAAACAGCCTCGTATAGCAGCCTCGTATCAGCCTCGTATCAGTGTCCTCCGTATCGGTGTCCTCCATATCAGCAGCCTCGTATCAGTGTCCTCCGTATCAGCAGCTCCTCCATATGAGTACCATACTATAAGCAGCCTTGTAATAGTTTTTTTGGGTTCCAGATGGAACTAAGTGACAGCTTGAGCTCCAGGGTGTAATATATCGCACTGTTCTTCACGTGGGCCTGTGTAGAAATAGTACCAGAAAAAGGCTGTCACGCGATATTTCACACCACAACCTCGTACCCCATCATGAGTTTGAGGGGTTGTAAATGACCCCTGGTAGGTTTTACCCCCTTGAAATCAAATCTGTCATAGAAATGGTTCACTGTACGGTAACAATCATGGAAGTCGAATAGAATAAAAAGTACAAAAATAGTCGTTATTCGACTGGAATTGTCCTTCTGGAATAAGGGAGTTTGAGGGGGAGAAAAATGTAAAAACATGGTATCAACAAATTTTTAATGTAAAGCATGTACTAGGTTGAACGTGATTTTTTCTGTAAAAATACTATAAAGTTACGGAAATGAGATGTTGGTGGCACGAGACAAGTTTCTTCCTCCTGATATGCTAGTACTATGAAAGATTGAACAAATGACAAACGTACAGTACAGTATGGTATGTACAGTCCACCCAACTTTCGACTTCCCCTGGCTGCGCACCGCAAAAGACCTAATTTTGGTAATTTTGATCTGTCTAATCAGCCAATCTTGTTGCTTGATTCCTACAAAATATTTGTTTGTATTATCCCTAACTCTAAATTAACGCCGAAAACCAAATAAGATAGCCAAGGCCAACCGGTAGGTTAGCGTGAGTGAAACAGCAAGGTTTTATGCTACGTTCGCAACTTTCAAAATCTGAACTCCACGTCGTTTACAAATCGAGACGTGGACACCTTCTATCGTAGTGTTCTCGCTACGACAATAAAATACGGTACAATTTTAAAATATAGAATTGTCTTCGGTAAAGGTACTCGTAGTTGCAGCAGTCGTAAGGTACCTCTTCGGTCAAGAAGCATTACTCGTAGTCTTTCCTTTACGATCCATGTGCATTGCAACGGATCTTTATTTGCTGCGAGAATACAGCCGAATCACACTTGTACCACAAAGACCGCAACAAACMAAGCAAGAACCGACAGATACGATACCATGACTGATCAAACGAAACACGACCGAAAATGGATTCGAGGGGTGAATATTGGTGGATGGCTCATGGCTGAACGATTCATCACTCCCTATCTTTTCGCCGTCAATTCGTGCCATATGCAGGGATCTTTGTGTTATTATCCAGGCCAGGTCGGTTTCGATAGGGAGAGCATTACMAAAGAATTGTGCGACACAGAGGCAGTGTGCCARCCGATGTTGGTGGTCAAGGCGAAGGACCCCACAGACTACCATCTAATCCACGGATTCAAGGGCGACGGGTCGCCCACGCGCATCCGGTCTGGCATTACCGAAAATGGAATGGACTATCCCGTGGATGAATTCACGCTTGGGCAGGTGTTGCGATCGTCCTCCGGGGGCATGGAAACCGCCACGAAGTACATGGAACGCCACTGGAACGACTTTCTCACCTACGACGACCTGAAAACCCTGAAAGCCAACGGCGTTACCCACCTGCGGATTCCAATGGGATACTGGATACGAGGCATTCCCGGACTGAGTATAGTGGAGGGAGAGCCTTATATCCCCGGTGGGTGGAAGTACTTTGTACGGGCGGCAAAATGGTGCCGGGAGCTCGGACTCATAGTCTGGGCCGATCTCCACGGGGCCCCCGGTTCCGAAAACGGCTTCGACAACAGCGGTCACTACCTGGGTGGTTCTACTTGTGACGGCTGGTCTAAAAACCCCGCTAATGTTCAGAGAACCCTGGATATTTTAACGGATATAGCGCATGGAGTGTTGGAAGCAGGTCTGGAAGACGTTGTTACGGGCTTTGGGATCCTTAACGAACCCTTTGCCGATTGCGACTTGGAGGTATTGCGAAAGTACTATGACAATTCCCTGACAGTTTTGCGTGCTATCCTGGGACAATCAACATCTGTATTTGTCGGCGACACCTTTCGGGCGTACCGTTTCAATGACGGGGAATTCTGGACCGACCCCTCCATTTACCACGACACTTATCTGGATAGCCACCCGTACCACGTATTTTTCGAGGAGGGACGCTCCTTCACGCCCCGACAGCACATAGCCTATGTGTGTCGCCATGACACCAGGAGCGTRTCCGATTGCTGCTTTCAGGATGGTGACGCGAAGCAAATACCTAGCGCCGGTATTTCTCGCCTGACCGGAGAGTGGTCCGCYGCATTTGATGCCCTTCCGACAGCCTTGGTGCCGGACCTCATGGAGGGGATCTCGAAGACGGGACAGTTGCCTCAGAGGAAYMGAACGCTGTCTTCGGGACGAGTGGGCTTCTTGAGAAACTTTTGTGAAGCACAGATGATAGCCTACGAGGCGGCCGATTCGGGCGGGGTCAGTGCGGGATGGTTGTTTTGGAACTTCAAAATGGAGTGAGTGGACAAATTCTATCTAAAACTTTGTTCATCGAGTGTGAACAAGAACTTTAGCAAACGGTCAATAATAAAGTACTCGATTGCTCTACGCTTTCGGATTCAGCTCGTGTCCTAACCCTTTTTCCCCCGTCTTTCCTTTTCCGCAGAGGTGGGGCCTTTGCCGAATGGGACTTCCTAAGGGGGCTCTCCGAGGGATGGATGCCTTCCATTCCCGAGCCGACAGTGTCTTCCGAGAGCCTTTATGGGAGATGCGAAGACATTTACAACAGAACTGATGACAGCTACTCTATCGTAAATGAATATCCAGATCCTCGAACGCTGGATTGGAATCAGTGGCAAGGATGGAGCGCGAACGACGATTTTGTCATGAGTGATCCCAACATTCCCGTCGACCATATTAGACATTCACCTCGGCAATGGTGGGATCCAAGGCGTATTGCCGATGCTCGGTGGTTCTTCCCGGCCTCCTGCGGGTTTGCGGTGGCAATGGCCTTTTTGTTGCACCGAAAACTGCGGAGTTGTTTGCGCAAGGGCGAACGTCTTGGATATACCGAATTGAAAGTGTAAACGACGAATACCACTCATTCATCAATGGCACCACATAACAAAACCTTGCATTGTCTTACCAGATATAGAAACTWCTCGGGTGGAAAGCAATTAACCCCAATACCGACTTGGTCAAGTCATGGTAAAAGAACGTGAGCTCAAAAGCCATCACAGCGTACAGAACACCGAAATGCCCAGTTGTAATTTGCTTCWCTCGATATCATCACCACCACAAGAACTGSCACCGTTAGGTTTCAGTTTTTCTAACCCGAACTTTTCGGAGGCACATTAYTTGTYATGATATCATAGTCGTAGGAGTTCCTATAGAAATACTCCAAGGTATCATYRAATAGCAGACCAGCTAAAATCACACACCTCTCATACTCGAAAGGAAAAGTYCATATTATTTCTCTTTAGTAATTGTAATCTACATTACGTCCCTAATTATCGTTTTTTTAATTGAAAAGCGAAAGTTCGTTTCAGCAACTAAAATCGGAAAGTTACTACGTACCAGACGTCTGTGTTGGGCTTTTCCAAGAATAATACAAGTCCTGCACGTTGGTGTTAGTGATGCGGACCAGCTCTTCCTCAGAGACCTCCAGGACGGACGCTAGCCATGGGATAGCTTGTTGACAATCAGGTTTGATTGCCCGGATATCTTCACGGTCGGTTTCCAGCACTAACCTTTGCAAGCCAACGGCTTGTACCACCGATGGCGTCTTCGGGCTTTGGAAATTGACAGGGGGCGCAAATCCGAAGTATACCTTGGGTGGTGTGATTTTGACAAATTTCTTTCGCCCTGTGTTTGTGTCGACGTCGCCGCTTGTGTTCTGAGGTATTTTAATTCGTCTAGGTTTTTCTAGTGTTTTGATCAGCTGTGTCACTGTGGAAGCCTTACCCCCAAAGGCATGGAAATATATTCGTGGGGGAAGGACCCTTAGTTCGATATCTTTCGGAATCCATGCTCCCTTTTCTACTTCTACTACCAACCGTTCATAGTTTTCCGACGCTACCATCTCAAAGGAATCCATCATGTTTCCCAAGGAACGAACACAATGGAGACTAACCGGTCGCTGAAGCCTCGTGGCGATTTTCAGTTGGAGCAAGAATGCTTCGACCTGTTTGTCCATGGGTGTTGTCAACTCTTTAGCGTCACCTTTCGAACGAAAATGAAAGCCATCAAGGCCTATTTCGCCAACAGGGGAATGGGGATGTTTTTGCAAGAGCTCTTCAAGCCCAGCCGTCCATTTTGGAACCAATTCACCGTCGAGCGAGGACGAAACCAGCGCCCAGTCGTTATCGGAATCTAATTCGTGCAAAAACCATGGGTGAACGCCAAAACACGGTAGAATTTTCATGTTTTCCTCAACGAGATTACTACTTGGAAAGGTTGCAATGGCATCCTTGATCTCTCGTTCCAAACCAAGAATTGTGGGAAAGTCGCGGGGATGCGTCGACATGATCGCCATTCCTGATAATTGTTTGCCGAGAATTTCTTGCAATAAATAATCGCTGAGGCTGCTTACGAGAGATGCCCTGTCATTTTCAAAATCATAGTCTTGGTTATCATTTTCAATTGAGGTATTGATGTTTCCAGACGCCAAGAGTGGTGGAGTTGGAGGAGGCCCAAGTTGGATGTGATTGTGCGCATCAAATGGAAGCAATTTTAGTGTCACCATTCTACGTAGCTACTCCTTAATCGTATGATCGACTCCTTTCTTCTGCTGCACTACTTTTCTAAATCCTCAATTAGATTTATATAGATAGACAGAGTTAGAGAGAGAGAGAGCTTGTGATATCACTCGGAGATGAGAACGCCGATCGACGATGTGTTGATGTATGCAAAGAAATATTTTAAATACAGTAATTTGATTTACAAATGCTCTTCGTACGGTAGTACGTACTCATATAGACCAAAAATCCAATCACTCATGATCCTCAATTGGGATTTACAGCCGGGAAGGATGACTTCTAATATTCTAATACTACGAGTTTCGTAACAATTGAAACCGGACTCCGCCAGAGAACAATAAGTACTGTAATAATTTCAAGTTCTAAACTTTGATTTGAAGTTATTAACTTTTGCTTGTACATCATGTACCAGGTTCTACTGAGCTTGTTTTAAAAATGACTGAATGACCGAATYGATTCCCCTCAAAACAAAACAAAATGGTTCGAGGTGATTCAATTATGAATCCTGGCCTTTGTTCAATCATGAATGCCATCCAAAAACTAGCTCAGTAGAACCTGGTAGACTTTCTACCGGGACATTTTGAAGTTCATAACTTCAAATCGAAGTTTAGAACTTGAAATTAGTATTACTTTTTGCTCTCTGGCGGAGTCCAGTTTCAATTGTTACGAAACTCTTAGTACTACTACCATACAAGTTTCGTAACAATTGCACATCGTCTTGCCCAGAGAGCGAAAAGTAATAATTTGAAGTTCTAAATTGGTTTTGGCCGCCGCCTTTGTTTTTTTTTTGAAGGACTGCAGCCGCCAAAAAAACTTGCTACGGTGCAAAAACTAGGTTATTGCTAGTAGAATGACTTGTTGTCACAATAATGACTGAATGTTTAAGTTAAAAATGAATAATTTATTTTGGTAAAGGTACTAATTTATTTGCAAAAATTAATATACCGGGGTTTTGTACAAATCTACACTAAAAAAGTTTCTTTTTGTTTCCTCCGTWAGTCCAGGGCTSTAAGAATTCTTCAAAGTTACTGGCTAGGCGCACTAAAGATAGTAGAGATAGTGAAGTGCAGTGCACCGTAGCCAACTTCGATTTGAAGTTATGAACTTTTGCTCGTACATCATGTACCAGGTTCTACTGAGCTAATTTTTTAAAATGACTGAATGGCCAAATCACGATTCCCCTCAAAGCMAAAAAAAAATGGGTCAGGGCAATCAATCATAATCAATTATGAATGCCATCCAAAAACTAGCTCAGTAGAACCCCCTAGTAGACTTTCTACCTGAAGTTCTTAACTTCAAACCAAAGTTTAGAACTTCAAATTATTACTTCGTACTTTTTGCTCTCTGGGCAAGACGATGTGCAATTGTTACRAAACTCGTAGTAATACTAGTTTCATAACAATTGAAACAGGGCTTGTGCAGCGCGCAAGTGCTCTTGCCCAGAGAGCAAAAAGTATTGATTGGAAGTTTTAAACTTTGGTTTGAAGTTATGAACTTCAGGTAGAAAATCTACCAGGTTCTACTGAGCTAGTTTTTGGATGACATTCATGATTGAAAGGCCAGGACTCATGATTGAATCACCTCGAACCATTTTGTTTCGTTTTGAGGGGAATCGATTTGGTCATTCAGTCATTTTTAAAAACTAGCTCAATAAAACCTGGTACATCATGTACRAGCAAAAGTTCATAACTTCAAATTGAAGTTTAAAACTTCCAATCAATACTTTTTGCTCTCTGGCGGAGTCCGGTTGTTTCAATTGTTATGAAACTCGTAGTACTACTATGTGTTTGGTAACAATTGAAACCGGGCTCGCGAGCGCACAAGTGCTCTCTACTAGTTAAGACTTAAAGCGTTRAAACAAAGTTATGAACTTCAATATAAAGTTGACAACTTYGATTCGAAGTTGCCAACTATGCTAGGTAGCCCTACATAGTCTTAGTACTATCCCTGCATCGTGTCACCGGCAGGTCAGCAGGTACAAGGGGAAAAATTTGGTTCCGCATTAAAGGGGTAAAAGGTGTTGATTCAGGACACAAAAAAACAACCCCAATTCTGTTAGAACATGGTTTTAACACAGCAGCAGCAAGTGCCAGCAACTGAAGGATGAGGCAGGAGGTTCAGAACAATCAACTATCACTCAGGAAATAGGAGTTGACTTCTTGATGTATGCCAGCTTGGCAAGGCTTCCTATTGGGACTGATCAGTGGAATGAGGTAGAAGTGACTCATGCTCAGAACTATCCTCATACTAATAGAGATGTCGTCACCTCATCCATCTGTAGCAAGTTAGTATTCATGCTGCAACAAAGGTCAAAATAAAGCTAATGAAGATTATGAAAGACACAGCACAATGTTACTAGTTGCTGAAAGGGAGCTGTAGGAATGGGCTATTGAAGCAAAGAGATTGACCAGTTTCACCTGGGGCACTGGAAAYAGTTTGATAAAAAAAGGTTTGGGGTAATGTTACAAAACCAGCTCCAGAATCATACAGTTAAACTAATTTCAAAGTACAACTTATTGGCTGACATTCCAACAAGAATGACGTTGGTGATGTCAACATCAATCTCTCCCAACCAATATTGCTTTAATCAAAGAAGAGAATGTGTTGTTCCCAGCCAGRTAAAGCCTACCTCTCTGTACTATGTTCCCAAACTGACAGAAGATACCCTCAGCTGCAAACTCCATCATGGAGAATGGTGGGTAGTAGGATACCAGTTAACATAATTACATCATGTACACTAGATTTGGAAAGCTGTGCAGGWYCTACTGAGCTCTAGTGTGAAATCCTACAAGGACCACTCTGTGGCTGTTTGTAGCTAAATGAGAATTTTTTTTTATCCAACTCTCTCATAAAATTGAACAAGATAACTCAAAACTACTACTACTACAAYTGAGGTATGTTAATTACATACTGCCAAAAGTAGAACAAAAATGTAAATTGAATAGGAAGGTGTTTGAAGGCAAGTCRAATGAAAATATTTGATGAAGCATGTGAGTTTACAATCTTTGGTGACTAGTAACATGAACAATCCAGTTACCTACTTCTGTTTTGACTTACAAGTTGTAGTAGGAGCTAGCAGTAGTACATTCATCAGGGCATCAATACAAATAATCACTATCATCTCTTAGGTGATCAAACAGGATGGACAACAGGATGCAGTGATTGTAGTTGTTGGTGATGCTGGAGTGGGCCAGTGTGAGACATTATTGAAAGAGACACCAGTAGTAAATTCTGTATGGAGCATCTTCTTCAAGCACACCAACTTCCCCGTTCCAGATAACATTGCAGAATGTTTTGTTAAAAAAGAGATCAAAAGTATTTTTTGGCAGGAAAAATTACAAGGGTGAGCAGAAGGGAGGGGGGGAATTGTTGCKTATGCAAGTGAGTTAGTTTGTACCTGATTACATCCTTCTCGTGCTTGTTACAAATAGACAACAAAAAAATGATGTGGTATGTGGTTTGTTTAGTGGTAATTGCTTCATAACAGAAGGATATTGTGATGGAGGAACCTTCAAGTTGAAACAGAGTGACAGACAAGGGGATACTTCAGAATTCAAATACTTCTTTGTAACACAGATCTTAGGGTTCTAATAAACAACATTAGGATACACTGAGCACAATTTCAGCACCACCATGGGCAAAGCGTTTACACTTCTGTTCTTGTACAAAGACTACAAATTGTGGAATAATTCAGGCAGTGGAAAGAAAATCTGAAAACAATGCATGGGAAATAGACAAAGATAGTTCAACAAAGATTGAACTTGTACTCATGGACAACAAGTATTAAGGCAATGTCAGAGAAAACACAGAGGAGAGGGAAAATAAATGAAGAAAATTTGGCAAAGATGAGAAGCTGTTCAACCAGACAAAATTGTGGGATTCCAATCTCTTTCAAGATGCTAGGACTTTGATGGGCATAATACAGACAGTGGTTAAATCTTTACAATACTAATATATCCTGTAACAAAAGAACTACACAACAACAATAATAGGATTTCTGTATTAGGACTTACTTTTGGCTGGAATTAGATATAGTTGTTTGTTTTATGAWAAGACTTGACAATAGCAGAGGAAGGAAGGAATATTTAAGTTCCACAACCAAAATTGTACAGAGGGATCAGAAAATTTGTCTCCAGAATTTCTTGGACCAGAGGAGCACCAGAATATAAGTCATTACATTAGACACTTTGTGAATACTTGGGTTAAAGGCAMTAGTTGGTTTGTTCAGTTATCTTGTGGTTAAGAATAGTAGAAAAATCTGATGACAAAATAAAATGATGTGCACCTCAAGGATGGGCATCAAACTAGTGCYGAGAATCATGTGGTGTGAGAATATGTTACACGGATTAGTGTCCTGAGTTKTGTATTCATAGAGTGCAAAGTTGCCCAACTTTAATTTTATGATTGAGGGAAAAACTTCATAATATCTGCTAGTACAAGTGWGCTGCAGTAATGTTAGTAGTTGTTAGGCTAGCTTTCTTGTCCTTTTTGTAATAATATGTAACATACTCAGTACATCACAGTATGACATACTAGTACTACTTTCAGTATTAGTAGTTCTTGTTGTGAGTAATGCAACATAAACTTCTTGTTCTTCTTGTTGTTGCTTAACCTCCTGTAATGTAACTAGTAGTACTACTAGTACTACTAGTAATTTACCAAATAGGCATATTATCACCGGTAACACATACAGTACTAGTATTGCAAAATTTATCCACCAGTTGCATATCCACTATGTTAACCACTAGCAATTACATAACCAATGAATTGAATAACAATTTTTTCACACCAGTTGGATTGGAATGAGGAATGTTGGCATAACCTGTTAATGTTGTTGAAGCTCTCTAGTGTCAGTATGAATACGTGTTATTTTAGAGAGTGAGGATATTCACTAGCTATTCGTGATTTTAGGGCCTCACAATAATAGCATCAGCCTYAACTATTTTGAAATCAGAATCCAGACTTCTAACTTGCAGGAATGAACTTATGACGTGCTAGCGGTGACGTTATAGTTATGGAAATATATTGATTTTTATAGCAAGGTAGGGCAGGACTTTGCAGACACGATTGATCTGTTCGAATGGAGACTATAAYATTGGTGGSCCTTTCTCCTTTGTCCATAGTTTGGGCATTATTCCAGAAGACTCAAGATACTGCTCAAAGCTCGACTGTGTAGGCGATGCATATTGATTTGGATCATAATCGAGTATCTCATCTGGGAAAATACGCATGGCCATTTCTTTCCCCTTTCCGCGCAACTCTGGATCTTCCACCAGGGTATCATACGCTCGTGCAAATCMCAGTCGCACGCCCCGAAAGATCCCCTCTCGGGTTGTTTCAAGATGGGAAACCTCGTCTGAACCCGGCTCGAGGGCAATTGTCATGGTCTTATCTTGGTCTTTTTGAGGGTTGTTAGCCCGTTCGTTCAACTCCAGAATTGTCTTTGCGTAGRTTCGTTGGTGGCGTTGTTCTGTCTGTGAACGTTTGTACATGCCAGGTAGGTGGTTCTTTTTAAGGAAAAATCGCTTGTAGATCCTTGACCCCATCCATGCCACAATCGACGGGATTTCGAGCAGATTGGTCCCGTCCGGTGACGATCGTATCACCAAGACATGTGTCGCTCCCTCTTCGTGAGCGATATCGTAGGGAATTGGTGCTGACAGCATTGCGTCTGCGAGGGGCTCGTAGTCATCGTTGCGAATGCTTCTTCTCTGCATATTGCGTAGAAAAAAGTTAGGCTTTTGCCGATCATCGTCACAGTCGCTCTTCTTCTTCAATACGTTCATGACGGGACCGGCAATTCCAGGCAAGAGACATGACGCATGGAGGGAATGGCAGAGGTCATCGAAGGTGTCGAAGTGACCCTTCTCCTGTGACAAGATGAAGGGCTTCTCACTCACCAGACCGGTTGCAACCACTTTAAGGGGTTGGATTTTCTGGCGTTCGATAAAAGTTTCATAGTCGAGTGGTTTTCGCTTCTGCATTACGCTTTCGAACATGTAGTGGAGGTTCATCATTGGCTTGCCATGAAGTGGTCTTGTCCAGACATCCTTCAGGAGTCGTGGATCACAAAGCCCCAGTCCAAGGGAACGGGTCATTCGCTTCGGGTCTAGAAAGTAATTGTTTCGGTAGCGATCAATCGTGTGGAGGTCATTCGCATCTCTATCATTTGAGTTGTCGACTTGGTCATTTTCGCCGATGGATTCTTTCCTCTGTGCAACTGCATTCTTCAGACTCGTTTTGCAACTGTGGTTGTTGTCCATGGTGGTMAGTGCATCGTAGTAGACCTCGAGGCCGAAGTAGGGCAGCTGCTTGGAGACAAAGTAGGCAGAGATCACGGCCCCAGCCGATGACCCATATACCACGTCAATGGTGTCGGAGAGTCCTAGGCAATGGATAGCACATGCCATGCCGGCACTGACGCATCCCMGCATTCCACCGCCCTCGACTACCAACGCAATTTTTTCTTTTTTGCCGTTGCTACTGCTACTGCTAGAGTTCATTCTCCTGTTCTGTACTGCTCCTTGTTTTCCCTCTCGTTTCCTTTCGTGCATAAGCTTGACCACGGGATGGACAAAGTCAAGGTGGTCTCTCGAGCCAATCCGTTGCGTGTCACCCTCGACCGAGATGCTCCTGAGGAGATTTGGGTAATCGATGCAATCATCATCGACATCATCCAAAGAACATTCCTCCCCTCGACCCTTTTCGTAGTCAGAGCTCTCGGGCCAAAAGCGATCGAGTTCTTCGACCGTTTTCACCTCAGTGACCGATTGTCGCTTTCTCGTTCGTGCTTCGTCCATTGTTTCTTTTGAGATAGCCGACGGAGATGGATACACCATGGCATGCATGTTCTTGGCCCGGAACAAGGTGCTCGTGGACGCAGTTCCCGAAATCCGTTCGTAGTGGGATGCCTTTTTTTTCTCAGTATCTATGAGGGGTTGGAGAGCCGCTGCTATTTTTGAAACCACGGGTATTTGTACCGCTTGGGTTGATACCGACAGCGTAGACGGTTCGTCCCWACCGATGGCGGTTTTCTGAACATCAATCAGAAGTGGGTTTTTGCCCTGGAAGTTGATGATGGGGTATGGGATATTGCTACTGCTGGTAGAAGATGTCCTTCGCCTAGGGCTYGAGAGTACGTGCAACGAAGACGTTCCTATTGATGCCACCCAGCCCTTGGACTTTCTTCGTTTGGAAGATGCTACAAACTCGCACGTTCTCGTTTGCATCCCCACCGATGGTGATTGAAAAGCGTCGGCGGTAGATCTCAGTATACTTAATATCGCTGCCATGATAAGGATCATATTGCTACTAGCGCTACTCTTTCCTCTGCAGTCATCGAGGAGTCGACGGCGGCGAATCATCGCGGACTTTGGCATAATGTTTGTCAATCTCGATGCGAGAGGAACGTGAAGTTAATTGTTGCACAACGCTGAAATTTATGAGAATAAAACGGACTGATGATTGTTCGTTTCTGGTATCATCTCTGTAGATGGTACTTCGCTAGAGGGAACAGAAAAAATGGGGGTCAACGTGCTGTACAGAACAAGATTCCTTTGGACGGATTCGATTACGTTGATGATTCAATCTTAGTTCTTTATGTGGATTTTACCGTGAGAACATCGGATTGAGCCGATGGTAATTTTCGCTGTAATATTACTCGTTGTTGTTTAGGAGGTACGATGTACCAGTACGTACCAACAACTTTTTGTAAAATCACGAATTAGTGGGGTGGCACCCGCACCCGTGCGTTGATGGATTTTTTCTCACATAGAAGAGAAGAACATCCAGTCAGAAAAATTGCTCTCGAGGCAAAAGTTGCTGCGCACGGGTTCCGACAATCCACGCTGATTGAGATACACTTTGAAGTTGAAAAAAAAAATGATAGACCGGTTCGTTCGACATCATACGTTACGATTAGATACTGTGAAGGCCGGAACGTGGAAAACTCGAAACGTAGCATAGCATGTCACTAGACGGACGATGGACAGAATAGTGCGAAAACACGCATAAGCCAAGATGCTACTAGTACTACGAGTACTATTTTTTACTAGTATTTAGACGTCGCGAGCGCGCGACGGAGTTGAATATTTGCGCACCCTGCTGAAAAGCGTGACACCATGATGTTGTGACATCTCACAGAGCCTCTATTTGCGAGACTCAATCCCATCTCCCATCCCAGGCCAGTGCACCCAGAAGGTCAGGGTAGYACCGGGTCTTACTGGTAAATTTATCACTAGTACGAGTACGTACCGTACTGGATTAGGTTCTCTCAATAGGTGCATCAAAAGGTACGTAATACGGTACGTACCGGTACTTTAAAGTACTTCTACTACCTTACGGTACTTGTACAATATACGTAACGTATGAACTGTCAAGATAAGGAAAAAAGAAAAAAGAAAAAAGGCTTCTATCGACGGGAAAAAGATACCACTACGGAAGCTGTCGTTTTCCATTTCGATTGAGTTCTTACTCAGTCATCATACTCTCAACTACTACCTGTCGACAGGAGCATAGAAGAAACATCAATATCAACAACAACATCCACTTCATTCGATTTATTAGCATCAAATATGCACTTCGTAAAATTGAGCGCCATTGACACACGGATCCTGGTTCTCGTGAACAGTATCCTTCCCTATCGGACATTGCTTTGCTCGCTGATGCTGCTGAAAATGCTTTCCAGTGCGCTGGTGGACGAAGCTGCAATTGCGTTCCCATTCGGTAACGGAGTACGAGCGGACGGGAAGTGTGCTTTTCCAGATCTGTGTCCCCAGGGATATGCTGCKCAGGACGTAGGATCGTGGTATGAGACGATCGGAAGAAGCGGGCGCATCCGTTACCTTGAAATCGTCGCTCTGGATTTTGCCGTTTTGATACCAATGTATTCGTTGTTTCTATTTTTGGAAATATCCATGCTCGCAAGAACGATTCCTACTTTGGTACCGCATTGGCTATCACTGCTCCCGTTTGTGGCCGTAGCCTTCGATATGATCGAAACCAGCACACACTGTTATGGGGTGGCTCGCCTTGCGAAGGTGGACCTCCTCGGTGGTCTTCCATGGCCGCTGGTTCCATCCTCGGGATGGCTCGAACTTGCATCCCTCGCCACCCGCACGAAATTCAAGTTCCTCTTACTCTCGATGGTACTRGCCATCCTCGGTACGACCGCCAGTTCGTTTGCATACCTTTCTGGTAGTACTCCCCAGAGCCAAACCATTCGGGATCGAAAACAAGACAAACAAAACTGAGGGAATCCAAACTCAACTAAATGAACTCTAGCATGCTGGAAGCCGATGGGACGCAAGAAAACAAACGAACCAGTTAGGAGTACATTGTATTCAAATGTTTCACGAAAAAATCTATTGCCGAAATTGGAAATAAATTATAGCTATCAAATATTTCGATTCAATACGGTACTTATGGCCATAGCAATTAATAGCAAAATCAAAGCTGTTTCCAAAAATGAGGTGTTCAAATGTTTCATGATSATATCTCTTGTCGGAAATCAAAGACCCAATAGGGCTATCGCAATGTTTTGATTCAACACAGTACGCATGGTCACTATTAGCAATTCTTAAACCGTTTCCAAAACTGCAAGGTATCCTTCCCGTACTTCTTGCTGAGACTTCGGTTCGGCGGGCTCATGTACTAGCTTCATGCTYGATTTCCCTGAGTCCTCTCCTTCCTCACAGAGCCATTCTTTCAACTCGGCCGACGTTGGCAGTCCGCGGGGCACCAAGAGGGGGTTCTGTTTGTTCTGATTCAGGACGTGAAATGCCCCCTGGGCGTGAACAATTACCAAGCGGCTTCCCGGCTTGCCATCCAAGAGGTCGTCCCTGGCCTTCAGCAATGCACGCTTGGGATCGGGTAAGTCGTGCAGGGCCGAGCAAAAGAGCACGGAGCTGTATTTGTTTTTTTGGTCGTCCTCGGTGTCGCCAAAGAAGTCCCTAGCTTCGAAGCTGCCCTTGGAAGCCACGTCGGGGTAAAACGACTTGGCGTGCCCAATCATTTCACCGGACAAATCAACGCCATGGATTTGGCTAGGCTTGAATCCGGCCTTTTTGAGAAAGGGCACCAGGACTCCATACCCGCAACCAACATCCAGGACCAAGCTTTCCTTGTCGGTAGCAGCCTCGTATGCAACTTGTGCTGCCTTTGTAACACGGTTCTTGAAAGTGGCCGGCATGTTTCCGGTCACTGATCGACAGGCCTTTGCATCGGCACTTGCGTCCCAGGTAAGCTTTTGCATGGCCACTTGGAGATCCTCTTCGGTCAAATCGTTGGTCTCCATGTGTTCTTCAAATGTTCGTCGATTCTGGATTGCTGTCTCGAGTTCCTCTTGGCTGTATCGTTGGCGAATATCCTCCGGCCCCATCCCAGTAATTCGACGTTCGAACATCTGGACGATTTCTCGGAGTTCCAAGGCCTTTTGAACGGATTCGTCCAAAGAATTTTTCATCAGGTGTGCGATTCGTTTCTCGGTACCAGCTGCAATGGCTTCTTTCGAAGTCCCCCCGTAAACCTTTTTCATCTTATTGGCCCACCGCTGCTTCAGCTGGTCGGGGGTTTCACTCGTATTCTTTGTTTTCCCCCTTTTCCCTTTTTTTTTGTTCTTAGGAGAAGGGGAAGCAGATGATCCAAAGCCAGCAAGAAGGGCCGGAGTGCTCCGTGACTCTGATGTCGTCACGGAGTTCGTTGGCGGAACAAACGCATCTGCAAACTGCGGATTTGAAGAAATTGCAAGAGCCACCAAGATGGCGGAAGTCAATTGTCGGCTACTTTTTTTCGATGATGATGTCATTGCTGTATTCTTTTCTCTTCGTTTTCACCGCAATTGCATTCGAATATTGTCGTAGAGAAGCAACTTCTACCGTACCTTCGGAATCCGATGTTATTGTTGTCACGAGAGAATTCAGTAATTACGAGGTTTAGGACGCTAGTGCGAGTTGAGAGTTCACGTCTCGTACAAGTTCTGTACCACTACCAAAACTCGTACGTACTACTGTAGTACGTTTCCAAAGGAAGTTGATGATTTGAGATTTGTTTTAGTTTAAGAAGTGCGACAGAGCCTCCACGTGGAACTACAAATATGGTCTAAAAAAGAACAAAATAAAGATGGACTCAAAATCGATGTCACAAAACAAAACAAAACATGATACGAGTACGAGTACCGTACGTACTCCATACTCCGCCTCATTTTTTTCTGAAAGATCCTGATGTTGAGTGTCCACGCTGAGCTCTCCCCTCCCAACAAGTAGCATGTTCCTAATCCACGTTAAAGTACCTAGAGATGTGAGGAAAAGAGGGCACATCTACGATYCAAGGGTCGTTTTTTTGCTGGTGATGCCCGTTCACGAAAAAAATGGGCGATGCGGACGATCAATAGAAGATAAATATCTCACCGTGCTAAAGAATCYTTGYACCTCATTGCATTTGTGAACATCCAACGAATGCAGCGTCCCTGTGACAAAACCACACTCCATGAAAGGTTCGATCTGCTACCAGTTTATGGATCGATCTACGGTATATGACATCCATTCTCTCCGATTGGCTTGATCATCACCATGTCGACAGCAGTATCTTTTAACAACGAAAGTCTTGGTGATGACACCGATGRCAGCACTGCGTCTTCGGGCATCTCATTTCATTCCAAGGCKGCAATCAAACATTTTTGCGACGTAGACGTAGAAGACAGCGGGTCTGTAACATCATCCAGCGCCGAAAGAAATTTCAGGCTCGTTGACGGATCAAAAAATCTTCGTTTGAGAGAACTCATGGGGAAGCAAGTTCGGGATCTTGAACAGCAGCGGTCGAAGCGACAACGGGACCTGCCGGACGGCGGAGGCGACGGAAGCGGGAATCCTGACGCAGGTCCGAAGCGTACCGTCGTGGGGATTGGTATTGGCTGGGGCGAGGTGAGAAGGAAAAACAAAACTCACAAAGGCAAGAAGCCMAGGAAAGGCGATGCCTTGTCACTCGCACTGTCACCAGGGTCGGCAGAATTCGGAAAGGCTTCCTCCGGGGATCTCTCTACCACTGCCATGMCCTCGCGTGTCCCGGAACGAGCCTCTCGAGTCGTCGGGTTCTCCAAAGAACGTTTCGAGCGGTYCCAGCGGCCGGCAGTCGAGGACGCACTCGCGGCACCAAAATCGGACTCCTCCGGTGGTTCGTTGGATCCCTGCGAGGAACTAGAGAAGAAGTGCCTCGAGCTGGAGGCGACGGGCCGGGAGCTTTCCGAGCGCATCGACGAGACGGTGCTGAGAGCCCTCGCAAAGAAGCACCTTGCGGAGCAGCTCGAAGGCCACGCGGTGTTCCTGCGGCAGAGGCTTTCGGTCCGGAAGGAGACGACGCAGCCGGAGCACCGGGAATCCGATGGTGGCACRGATCCGTACCGCAGGAAGCTCCGCAAGTTGCTCGCCAATGCCGGCTCCACGTGGGCCTTTTTGCGGAAGCACCACGGCCCCCTGCGAGCGGAACTCGAACGCGTGCGGTCCCGCAACAAGGGACTGGCGGTCCGGCGGCAMCGACGCCAAAACGCCACGGCCGAACTTCCGGGCACTCCGGGCCACCAGCGCCCGGTTCAGAACGCGCAACCCTCGTGACCGCGGTCCTCCGCCACCGGTGCCCCCGCCGTGGGATTGGCTCGTGCCGCCGAACGTTTTGCCGGCTGGAAAGGAAACACGACTGGTTCGGCGTAGGCTTCCGGAGCGACGTGCTCCGGCCACACCAAACGATAGCATGGTTGTCGCGGGCATTGTGTCTGGGCCCAAAAGAACCATTGATCACGGAAACAATAGAACACACTACTAGGTTATTATAAAACAAGGATCACACTGCACAGATAGTTGTGGTTCGAGATTTACGAATTGGCAACGATGCGTTTTGCGGTTGTGCCCTGCGTTGGTGCACCCATCCGGTGTCGGAATGGTTCGCCTGCCAAGCATAGCTCGATTGTTTCGATCCGTTATCGTCGTTGTTGTTGTAGTAGTAGTAGTTGTTGTTGTTGTTGTTGTTGTTGCTGTTGTTCATGCTGTTGTGCCTGCCGTCCTTTCGTGCAAGGCTCGCCGGCTGGCGTTCTGCCCCCCCTATCGGTTCGCTGCTTTCGGCTTGTCCGMACGGCCCGCCCGGTAGCGCTTGAGCTCCTTGAGGAAGGAAACGAAAAAGGGCACAAAGAGGGGGAAGAGGAGGGGAAAGAGGACCGCCAGAAAGTGCTCGATCGGCATCTCCCGGGTCATTCGCCCCYCGAAGGTTGGTGCGGGCGGCGCGGGGCCCTTTCGCTTGGATTCCGCAACGTGCTGCCGGGCCATCCAGTCCTCGACGAGGGAGGCGGGTCCCSGTCCTTTCGTTCCACCCCCGCCCGGTGACCGCACGGGCGAGGGCACCAGCACGGTGGTCGTTCCGGGGCCTTGCCGGGTCGTTCGGAGGAAGGATTTCCACTCGATGCCGTCGCCGCCGCCGCCGCCGCTTCCGCCCGGCAGCAAGCCTTCCGGAACGTAGAGCAAAAGGGTGTGCCGATCGGGCGGCGCCTYCGCAACCGCCCGGCTCGCAACGGCGAGCCTTGCGGCGGTTTCGCTGGGGTCTCCCGCGGGTTCCAGGGGGGGATCGATGAGCTCCAGCTCCATGGGGTGGCGGCCCAGCACTTCGCGCATCAGCGGCGGCTCCCCGCTCGTTCCCGCCCACTCGCCCGACAGGGCCCCTATCCACCCCGGGAGGGCCCCCGGGTCTTCCACCGCCAGCACCATCCTCCGGCGGTCCGGGAGGACTCCCTCGGTGGTGGTGAAAGTTGGTTTGGCTTTCGACGATGCTTCTCCGCTCGTTCTGATTTTCCCGCCCCCCAGGGCGTACGCGATCGGGGAGCAGACCGCATCCTCCCACCACGCCGCCTCCACGGCCGCCCCCAACGGGCCGCGGCCGGGGACCCCCGGGAGGTCCTTGGTGAGGTTCCCCCTCTTGGAGGTCCCCCCGCAGAATCCGTGGCGGACCGCCACCCCCACCAGCAGGCCCARGGCCAGCAGGGAGGTGCTCTGGATCAGCAATCGCTTGGTCCCCATTGTTGCCTCTGTTCTTGTCGCTTCGTGCCGCGGATCCGTGGCGTGTGCGTATCGGTGGGCTGCGTCTGCGTTTGCGTTTGTGCGTGTCGCTGCGACGAGACGGTTGGCAACAGCCGATGGCCACAACTGGCGCTCTGGCGGTGCAATTCGATTCGATTCGATTCGATTCGATTTGATTCGTTTCGATTTGATTCGTTTCGTTTGTTCCCAACCTAGTGGTTTACTCTCGCATACACAGTGGCAACGGCGGCAGAGATGACGAGTGTTTGGACGTGATCCTGTCGAACAATCGAGGGTACCGCGGTGGCAAGGAGAGGAAAGAGGAATGGGTTTTGTCGCTTGGTTTGTGCCGAGGAGCCCACTCCATCGTCGTCGTTGTTGTTGCTTTGGTCCACCTTTCCCACAACTCTACGGTACTGCCCTACAGTACAGTATGTACAGTGCGGTACGTACCGTAGTAAGTACCAGTACTAAAATACGAACTACAGGAAAATGCCTCCGTTGCGTTATTTGTTATTTCGCGTTTGGATGTTTAGCGGAAGGTTCGGGATACATACGTACTTTCTAATGGTATGAGTAGTATGTATGCATACCTATGCCATTCGAAATTCGGCACGAGTGGCTGAGTGGCGACGTACGGACGATTTTCAGACTCTTCCGAAGCCATCGGGACGCAGACAAGATTTTTTCGATGGATTTTTGACGGGCATGGCATCAAAAAAGAATGGCATCAACCAGTTTCCTCTTTCGTATTTTCGATCCCAAACCTGCAAATTGCCGACAACAACAGCAAACACATCGTCGTTGGACCCAACGCAACGCAACGCAACCAGAGCCAAGCCAAGCCAAGCCAAGCCAGCCACCATGCCGGCAAGCGTGTCTGCATCGCCGCTGCCACCGCCGGGCCTGTCCACCGATCGGGTCGACCGGATGCTGGCCGTGCTGGAGACCGCAGCCCCCGGGGGGGAGCCGCGGCCGCACGGTCCCGGGCTGGCGGGGAGGGAGGCCCTGGTCCCGGCCTTTGGAACGAGCGTGGCCTTTTTCGAGGGAGAGCTCCGCCCCGGAACTCGGCCGGCGGCCGGGCAAGGTGGCGGCAGCAGCAAAAGCAACGATGGCAACGGCAAAGATGGCAACGGCAACGACAGCAGCAACAGCAACGATAGCAACAGCAATGATGGCAACGACAACGACAACGACAACGACGAAGAARTGGTCTTTGTATCAACTGGCAGCACGAAACCGAAAGGGAATTCCCGCTCTTCCCAGAAACAGAGAGACCCACGGACGCCGCCGGAGGGGGACCTGGTGGCCGTGGGACTCCCGGAAGCCCTGGAGTGGTTGCGCAAGCACTCGTCCTCCGGAGGGCCGCCACAAGCGCCCGRATCCGCAACAACACCTCCTGCGCCGGTGCCGGCACCGCTCGCCGCCAAGAAGCAACAGAAACAGTCAAAGCCGATGCCGATGCCGAAGCAAGAGCAACAGAAAAAGCAGCAGCAGCAGCAGCAGCAACAACAACAACAACCGCCAGAAGCCCCCCCCGTGCCCCCCCCCTCGATGTTCAACATCAACGAAGAGTACGACGCGAGCGGCAAGCGGGTCTTTGGCGAGGCCGTCGATCTTTCCTCCCGCCTCCGGGCCGTCTACGGGGAAAGCGCGGCCCCCGCCCCGGCCCCCGGCGAAGGCGACCGCCAAGGCAGCAGCAACGACAGCGCCGGGCAAGGCACGCCGCCCGGGACGAGGCCCAAAACGCCGGTCGTGTCCGACGAGGAGTACGATCGGATCGCGAGGCGGCTGGAGGAGCTCGAGCGGCTGGAAGAGGAGGACGCGAAGCGCTCCAAAAAAGTCCGGTCCAAGGCCCTCGGGGGCTCTCCCAAGTCGTCGTCGTCGTCGTCGTCGTCGTCCTTTGGCTTCAAAAAGGGCTTTCTGAACGCGTCTCCCAAAAAACCGAGCGGGGCGAAAGCAAAAGCAAAAGCGAAAGCAAAACCAAAGGCGGCCGAAAACCCGTCCGGGATCGGTACCGCGCCGCCTTCGAACCCCTCGCCGCCTCCTTCCGGAGGCGGGGGCGTCACCATCGACACGTCCAAGAATCGGATCCATCAGATCCCCCGCGAGGGACGGCAGCAGCCGGTGCCGCAGCGGAGCGCTCCGAGGCAGCAGCAGCAACAACAACAACAACAACCACCACCGCCGCAGGTCCTGCCGTCGGCGCCGACGAGGCTCCTGGATTCCTCCGTCTTTTCGGGCCACGTCTCGGAGCGACCCTCGCCGATATCCCCGGACACCGCCGCCAGGCTCGCGGCAAACGAACAAACCAGGAGCCTGCAGCACGAGCTGCGAGAGCAGAAGCCGGCGCCGAAGCGTGTTTCGAGGTTCCGGCAGCAGCGGGAACAAGAGCAGCAGCAGCAGCAGCAACAACCGAGGCGCGTGTCGAGGTTCAAGCAGCAGCGACAGCAGGGATAGGCAGCCGAAACGGCACCGCAACGAAACCCAACGCGATTTGCTGCGACCGGAACGACGTCGGTGCTCGTTCTCGTYGGGTGCCCGGGATCCGTTCGGTGCCGGGACGCAGGGAGTCGACGGCAAGCATCCCCCGGGTMAAAGGAGGAAGCCCTCCCCCCAACCGCAAATCGCACTGCCGACGATTCCACCCCTGGGTTCCGTGATCCATCGAGTCTTGTTGTTCCTSTTCTTGTGGGCGAGCCGGTTGGCTGTGTTTGCGTTGCGGACGCTTTGGAACAACACGAACGTCCTCGGCCTCTTCCTCGTTTCGCAGAGCCGTCGGAAGGCAGATTTACTGTTCCACGAGAGTGGGATGGCCCACTTTTCGATATCGARGGAAGACGCCACGCGTCCTAAATCGAGTCTATGAGTGACACAGTTTGGTCCCTCTTTTGTACCSGTGCATGCTTCAATCCGCCAATGCAGTKGAGTTTTACACTGATGAAACCAGCGGCATTTATCYTCAGCAAAAGCCCGAGCTGGACGAGGAATCACGGAATCGTAGCTTACGCCTCTGTGAGAGGCATTCATGCACACCAGAAATGCGACGTGCTTAGCAATTCTCTAGTACTATTAGCCCGCTAGACTGCTGTAGTATCTGGTGTAAGATGGGATGCAACAATTTTAAACAGGATTCTATTTTACATGGATCGTCMGTAGGAATCATGAGTACAATTGTCAAAAARCACTCGACACTACTGCTGTTTGATTCCTTTATGCTTCTGTATCCTTCGTCAAATCGAATCTCGGCGAGGTGTCTTGCTTCGCACCAGACCCGCCATTGTGACAGCGGCGTTGTAGTTTTTCCTCGACGGCGAGGATTCTGTATCCTCCACAAAAGAGACCTTGCGCTTCTGTTTGGTGCTGTTCGTACCGGTAGACGCCACACTGGAGATTGGTTTGATGTCTCCTACGACCAAAAAATATCCTCGGGACTGACCGCTGTGTTGTTTCGATATCGTGGAATCGAGATCGTGCGCTTCCACCAGGACTTCCCCGGGACCAACAAATTCCTTGAATTTCGCATACACCGCTACGGTCTTATTCGGAAGCGGCTTCCTGTCGCGTCCGTCCCCTTCGAACTTGCATCGCGATTTCACTGTTTTTACCGCCGATCCATTGAAAGAAATATGAATGTCAGCCTCGCTCACCGAGCGAGTGTAAATGGTAATCTCGATGCATTCGTTCTCCCCAAGGGTCCATGCCTTCGGTATCGCCTTGGTGGATTTTCGCTTGCAGTGAATCAGTTCGATTTCCTGTCGAACGATTTGCGGGTCCGAGCATTCCCTTAAAAATGCTTCCCGTAAGGATACATTGCCACCCCCATAGTCCTTAGATATTTCTTTTTCTTTGTCGATCAGATTTTCCAAAGCATCTTGTCCCTTTTGTTGCGAGGAGAACAATTGAATCCGCGAAGCTGTTCGAGGATCGATGAAATTTTTGATCAATTTCCACGAAAAGGTAAAGAAGCTAGGAGCGTTCAACACCAGCATCGCATGGAGTGTCTAAAAACATTCAAGGAAACAAATAATTCGTCATCTCGTTAGCAATACCAAGTAAAATCACAGAGGATGTGTGAAGAGAACGAAGCACGAAGCACGAAGCACATGCGGATAAAAAGCAAAGAATAGTTCAAACAATCTTCGTACCTCTGGAAAGAAATCGCTGACTTTGGAAGCAATCTTGATCACCTCCATGGTTTCCGATGTAAGAGAAGCTGTGCTTAATCCGCTCAGGTCTACAATATTGATGCCCTCGCAACGGCAGAAGTCTGGATCCATTCTTTGGGTTCTCCGCACTTCTTCCTTCATCTTGTACATGAAACTGTACCAAAAGTAGGAAGCCAACTGGTCGACGGTACACAGAGCCATGATGCCCTCGGGGTTGATTTTTCCGGCCAAAAAGTAATTGACCGGCGATCCGTTGCGGCCCCGTCCGATACTCATAAAGGGGTACTGGCTCAAAAATACCGACAGTGGGCATCCTAGATAATCGTCAAGGTTGGGACCGTAAAAGTTTTTCTCCTTAGCCTGTTCAAACAGGGGCTGGTTTTCGGACAATCGTGCCAAAATTGCGTCGGCATCGAATTTTGTAGCTCGTAGCCACCGACAAATCGTGTAGGGTTGATCCTCRACGTCTCGAAAACTGTAGACCTGTTCGGCAACGGCTGGTGGTAGCTTGTTGAGTCCTTTCAGGAACTTTTGCTATTGTATCAGACCCACGGCAACAATCAAAAGACAGTCAGATACATCTGAGAACGAGATCTTATACACAGACGACGCCATCCCCATGATGGKGTGTAATCTGCGCCAACGAAAACTTTTCGAAAACTTCAATACGAGACTCACGCATTCTTCTAGTTCATCAATCGTCAACGTTCCTGGATATCCGGCCATCCCGATTGCGTCTTCGACCGAAGTCGGAGACGGCTTTGGAAAATTTTGCAACTCGGCAGCTAGAGCCTCGCTGGACCGCGCCCGAATTTTTGCGAAACGCAGGCTCGGTTCTTTGTAATTTTCAATCCTGTTATCGTTTTGCACCGGGACGAGTTCGTAGGAATCATTGTCGTCTTCGCCAATCCCACCGCACGAGGATCCATTTTTTTCTGAATTTCGAAGCATACTGGTAGGGTCTTCCAGGCTGACCTTTGGTGCGGGGTGTGCAATCGAAGTGGTAAAAACTACTCTAGCCTTTCCCTTTCCTCCGACGACGTAGCCATCGATTGGAAATTCGTCGTCACCGAGGGGAAAGTCCACCGCATCGAAAAAGAACATACTGTCGTCGTCGTCATCGTCACCATAATCGCTCTTGATGCTCTTGCCAGATTCACTACCGTGGTAGTGGTGAAAAGCCTGCCATTCCACATCTCTCCCAGGATCAACATCTCTGAATTTTCTCCGCTTTAGCCGAAAGATCCTTCTCCATCCGACGTTTTTCAGTGTCGTTTTATAACTTTGGTTTCTCCTTTTTGTGCTTGGCCGACATCCACAGCAGATAGCAACCATAGATTCAGGTGGTTCCATCGCTTTCACTGGATACGACTCAGCGGCTGCACTCCTGTCGATCATATCCGTCCTTTTCATCCCAAGAGAATTATCAATCTTCTTGCCCACGCTAGGAGAATTCTTGCACATCTCCGTCCTCGACTGACTCCAGGGGTTCGGCGCTTCCGATTCTTATGTGGCCGCAATGGACCTCGCGTTTACTCTKATTCTCAATTTATATACCWATGATTTTCAATGCGAAGTGAAAGTGATCGACATGGTTTGTCTTCTTYGAAAAGGGAGATTCGGATTGGAATCTCGGTTGCGGTGGTTGGTTTAATTGCGTTTCGAACGAATTGCGTTCGAATGTACGCAAAAAAGGTGCTGTTCGGTATTTTTGATAGCTTGTGTAACCGGACTGGACATAAGCATCCTTATGCGGCGGAGAGCAGACCGTTGAGGCGTATGGGGCATATATAGTCTGTAAACCAGGGGTCATAAACTTAGATGCCCTGCTGTAGCGGCCGGTACTAMTTACCGTTAAACCACGCAACTGTTGTCGAAACCAAGAACGACATCTTGGCTGTAGAAGTACGACATTAGCTTTAATTTTACGAGCTCTACTGAAAACCGAGTTCGTACCTAGTTGAATCAAGAAGAATGTTGTGCTGTGCGAACGCGTCAGCAGTTTGAACAATACAGACGCCCTCTCCGCGCGTTCGACGACGTTGTCCAGATGGGGCCAATTGGCGGAAGGAATTCCTGAGCCAGAGTCAGCTTAGTGGCAGGAGAATTCTTTCTTCGTTTTTGAACATCTTGCTGCGGTAATGGAAACTAAATTATGTTGGAGTTCTCACTGTTTCAAAGTCAAAGTAACGGAGGACATCCCTGAACGCAGCAGCAAGAACTAGTTAATCAAGCTACAGAACTTAACACACAATGAACAGCWTGAATAGGATTTTWGTGTTGTTAGCAACCATTGCTTTTGCGTCCCAACCATGCTGCGAAGCCTTCCAATACGCAATTAATCAACATAAATCGACAAGGCTGGGTGCCACCGTCATTGATGCTCCTACCAAGGAAGACCTTGACCGCAAGGTCGGCCGCCGAAGCAATCGACGAGGCGGCGAAGACAACGACGACTTGCTCGGCGACGCYGAGGAGAACATCGAAGATGCCCTTCGAAAGCAAGGGCCACTGGAATGGYTGGAGGACAACCCTGACGAATCCAGGGACATGAAGGATCCTTTTCACATTCTGATTCTGGACCAAACCTTTGAAAAACCAAAGATCACCGTTCCRTATGTAGCGTCGAATCTTGAGTATGTTCTGGGAATGCCTCTGGACGACGCCATGGACCATTCCCAGTGGTGCTACGAGAACGGCCTATCGTGCGTTGGTGTTTGGCCACGAGAAGAGTGTCTGGCACTGGGAAGACAACTGCAGCTTAGAGACATTGTTTGTCGGGTCGTTCCTTACGCAGATGGAGGTCACCGGGCCTGGCAGGCAGATAAGAATGCCCAGGATGTATCCTATGAGGTTGAGGGGGACAGCTTTTCTTGAGTGACGCAAAAAGTTTATGAGCTAAATTATAGGGTCGTAGCCGAAAACATGTAAATARTGACGACTCGATTTTTCCACCAACGAAACACTTTGCGACTTTCATCTCTAGAAATCGAAATCGATGGTTGTTGAATGTATGGAAGAGTCCACAGAATCTTTCTCAAGTTGCAGACGATTGTTCTCGATGAAAAAGAAATGTTTCGACGTTTTAGCATGTATGAACACTTTGTTTGCATGTCATCCAGACTGAAACCAACTCCTAGTGAGTATCTTGAATTAAACACTTGAATTTTCGTTMATTGCGAGTTTGCACTGCAATCTGCCAGAGTTTAAACTTAGACGCATTTCTCGTTGCAATGGATTGATCGAAGCCACTCTGACGTGCATGGATCCAATYAACRAGGCAAGACATCCATCACGCACGATAAAGCAGCCCCTTCTAGCCAATCTACATTCGAAAGATGTATCTAACGTAAAGCAGAGTCTCCTCAACAGTTTTATTCATGAAAATGATTTAAAGTCGTAAATAATTCGCAACCTTGTTGAGGAGCCGACGTCGGCGTCCCGGTTGGTTAATATCGCGGTTCTTTTGTCGACGTCGTTTTCGGCGCACCACCGCGTCGACACCCCGAGATATACTCTGTTCCTTTACCAGGCGGCGGACCAACCCGGGCCCGATCTCGGATCGTGCAATGTCCGCCACAACCTTTCGCCTCGAATATCCCGAATACACACTGGCATCGTTGAGCAAACATTTCAACTTTCCAATGTCGAGTCTGCCCGTTCCGGGCGTTTCGATCAGACTCTTTAGCGTCTTTTCCACCACWGGGCTGCCCGTGGGATTCGAAAACAATCGCGAAATAGCATATGGATATAAATGCCGCAAAATGTTAAAGTTAGGATCGGCCTCACGAGCCATACCTTCGAGGGTTCCCAAGGCCCGTGCATTGTTCAGAAAGTAAGGTGGAAGCTGGAAACGAAAACGGGGAACTAGTCGGACCAAAACATCCAGTAGCTTGTCGAAGCGCAGGCTCGGTATCCCGTTGTTAGGAAAGACCAACACCTGCGATATAGCATGGATCAGCTCKTYTGCTAAYGCCTGGCTCTCAACTGGATCATTCAGGACGTCCTCCGGCAAGAGCTGGAGCTCCCCAAAGAGTTCTCCTACTGCTGTCACGTTTTTGGCAAAGATCAACTGACAGATGGCACAAATCAAACCATCCTGGACGGTAGTTGGAATGGTGCTCAACAATCCAAAATCAATGTAGCCGAGTCGGTAAGTAGAATTATCATCGTCGGCCACCTTGAGCAGATTTCCACCGTGAGGATCAGCGTGAAGAATTCCAGTTTCCAGAAGCTGGCTAAGTGTACAATCGATGCCCTGCCGGATCAGCTCCAGTGTTTCCTTTCTACTGATCTCAAAGTCCTCTTCCTTGCCATYGCTACTTTTTAGTCGTCTCTGTTCCTGCTGGAGATCCACCAATTTAATTCCATCAATCCATTCCATCTGTTTACAAGAGATAGCATGATACTGMATAAGTTTGACAAAATCTTCCTGACGAATAACAAATTGAAACTTCATGGTAAACTTACGACTAGTATCCTGTCGGTACATAGAGTCTTGTACACATCTGGAACAACCACCCGAATTTTGTCGGTATTAAAAGCACAACCATCAACTTCCAGCAAACCCTCGTCATCATTTGGAGATCTTCGGTGGGAATAGAGCTTTCCAAAAAGTTCTAAATTTCTGGCTTCCCTCCGATAATCTAGTTCTTCACCAAGGCGCTCCATGAACTCGTCCACGGCACCGGTAACATTCGTGCGGACGAATCGACTGTTGACAGGATCACTAGGCATGCTTTCTGCTTGCTCCGCCGTTTGAAACGATGGAATAGCTTCCACTAACGCGGCAACCCTTCGGAGCAAACGAGCATCTTTTCGAACTATTTCTTGTACATTGGGCCGCTGGATTTTGATKGCCACTTTTTTGCCTCCAAGGCTTGGCGGYAAGACGCCTGAGTAGACAACACCAATGCTAGCGGCCGCAACAGGGGTCTCCGAGAGACTCTCTAGAAAGACTTCCAATTCGTTCAAATCTTCAAACACAGATGACTGCAATTCTTGTCGTAAAATTTCTCGGGCGCCCTTTGCCGTGTCCAGTCCCATGTCGGTTTTCTCCAAGACCTCGATGTCGTCCTGAAGTCTCGTCAGTGCAATGGCCAAAGACCTTGGAATGATGTCGGGTCTCGACGACATAGCCTGACCGAATTTCGCGTAAGTTGGGCCTAGCCGCTCTAGGAAGTGCGTGAATTGTTCTGCCACCAGTATAGTATTACTTGAATTGTTAGATTTTGTCATGGCTACTCCATTCGTTATTGTTGGTTGCTGTGGTTTGAGAGACAACTCCCAAAAGTCATCCCAGTCAGAAGGATTTTGGTTGTCAGKCGATAAGATTCCTTGGCCTACGGGCGAGAGAAAATCGTTCCATGTGATTCCCAATAGTTCTAGTGTACGGACAATTTCATCCCAAGACGAAAGAGACGATGCTGCTGTTGTTTGCGGTAAAAATCTCTCATGGTATTCTTCTGCTGTGTCTTGTTGGGTAGATATCGCACTGCTTCGAAGCAATACGGTCGGTCTGCCACAGCAAAACGACGGGGCCCAGGCATCAGTGGTCACTGTGAGCAACGAAAAGGCAACTCCTCCAGCGGCAAGAAAGAGTCTTGTCATCATCTTAGGAACAGAACTGTTTTTCGCAGAATCCAACGAAGAATTTGACGTCGTTTTGGAGGCCAACAGATGGCGTCTCTCCTAGCTCGACGGATTCGTACAATTATTTASGAGAGCTCAGAGAAAATGAGAGAGACCGAGAAAAATCTTTTTCTTCTAAATGAACGAGGAGGAGTTGATTCCGGTTGGCGCGGCATGTTGTTTGTGAATTTTGAGACTGCTTTTTCCTACCCCTTGTTCACTYTACCGCACCGTACGCACTTCTGTACCGTAAAGTACTGTAAAGATAGCAAAGCAGCACGGGTCGTAGTACAGTACCCTACTTACCGTACGGTACAGACGTCATCGTCCCAAAATGTGTTAAATTCCTGATCTCAATCGACTCATTCGACTAAAAAGAAGGKGGGAGCGAGTACGTACGTGTGTGTAGATTACTGGTTTGTGGTACGGCACCGTACACCGTACGGTACGTACGGTACATGTGCTGCTCTTGCTTTGCTGATTCTCCTACTCSYAATCCGTAATCGTAAATCGTATCGTACATACAAGTACGTACCCACATTCTTAATTATTGTATCGTATCATGGTACGTACGTACTTAGTTCGTGCCAATCCATTTTGTCGAATAGTAATCGAATACAGTACGGTACCTACGGTGCCAGCAACCACAGTAAGGCGCAATGAAACTCAATTTGTTCTTGACRCTCGTCTTCTTTCATCAATTGGAAACATTCATTCCATTCCCTAAYGGAGCCATTATTATTTTCTCACGCGTTTCCAATACGACGAACTTCCGGTGACGATTGTTGACGATGATGATAACCTGGATGATAATACAAACAGTAGTGAATCGATAATATTGTTTCTCCTATCTTTCATCAAAAGCAGAAAGATGCATTCGATTGCTGGTTTTCGAAGAAAGTGTAGTCGGAACAAAAGTAACTTCAGCAGAGGAAGTAGCAACRGGGCCACGATTCAATCTCCCAGAAATAGCAACCCCCGTTCGTCCTCACCAGAGATTGCCCCAAAAYCTCCAATCTGGAGCCCATTGCTATTTTCTGGCTCGTCRCCTCAATATAAAACGGGCAAAAAAAGTGCTGGTGACTCTGATAAGCAATCGGCAGCTTCAACTTCTCTCGGTGGTGGTAGTATCCGATCCCTGTCTTCTTCRCCCTTTRCCGGACGCCATCGCCGCCAGCCTTCCCTCGATTTGTGCACCATTGCCGAAGATAGGCGCATAAGCTCTAACTCCCTCAACAAGATGGCAATTACGACGCCCGCGAAAACGATTGCGCGCACCCCGACAATAATGCTTACCACCCATTTTTCCGAACCACTAGGGCTGCAGCAACAACCGCGACTAGAACAACAACCAAGGCGAGATCCCTACAACGACGACACAGACGACGATTATACAAACAGCAACGATAGTTTTGATTGTGACAACTGCTGGGCCTACAATAAATCTAGGTTACCAAATGATCGAGGTTGCTGTTTTTTTGGCTTTTCTGGACAACTCGGTGTCTCGGATTCCGAGAAGTGGAACGGCGCTCGTGGCAGCAGCAGCTTTCACAGCCGCAGTCGTCGCCAGCTGCAACGCCGAATATCTCTTTGACGAAATTAATCAAAATGAAGGTGCACAGAGTAATAGTAAGCAGCGAGACACAAGGACAAAAAACTGACTTTTGGTACTATTTCAATACGAGTCAAGTTCTCTTTCGTTTGACTTCATTYCAATCGAGTTCATAAAACTTCAAATGCAACATGTCAAAGTTTCATCGCATCATCAAAATAGATCATGTTGCTCGATAAATAATTTCAGTTGGATTCCAAAATCCCAGTTGAGAAGTGGGGTTTCGGGGAGGTGCAAGATGAGTGAGGAAAGGCACTTTCCCGTTTGAAGATCTTTATCAATGCATGGTGATACCGTGTGCGGTTTGTCAACGTGAGGATGAAAAGTACCGATTCAATCACCAAGCGACAGACTTCATCTATTCAATTTCAAAGGAGTGCATGTAAGGAGGGTATCGTGGCGACCAAGCAAAAGGGATGACGCGAAAGATGACAGAATAAACATCTCCTTCGGATGCGTAACAAGAACGCAAACGACCAAGTACACTACTGCACACAATCAGAGTACTAATCGAAATTAGYTCGACTCCTGTTTCCAACTATCGCATTTTGGTTAACTTGCGGCAGTACAATTGATATATTCTAGTATGAAGCGCAAAACATTTTAAACTTCGGAAACCTAACAATGGTCTAGTATTGAAATATTTTTCTTTTGAATTAGCTTCACATCAACTACGGTACCGTACGTACCGGTACAACTTTGATGGCACCGAATTACTCCTTTGTTACTTGAGTTTTTGTTCCTGGAAATTTAGGCTTTTCGCTATGCTTCGCGCGATTACAAGTGATTTTTGGTCGCGCAATCTAAATGGGGAGTATGGTAATTTTTTTGAGGCAGTAGGGTTTACATCACGTCAAAAATAATACCAACATACGGTACAGTTCCTCGCATGTGTACGTTTCTAAAGGTGATGTTTCTTCACACTGCCTGGCCTGGGCGGCAGACAGAAATTCCCTTTGGTCCTCGTGCTTATCTGTCGCGCAGTATTTCACTGCTCGTTGACATGGACTGTTCTTCTGGCTGATGCATGCGTTTCTTTGGGTCTTGACGGAGTTGAAAAGAAAGGAGTTCTTGTAACGATCGAAAAAGCGTTTTCGGACCTCAGAACTCTCAACTGTATATATGATAGTAAGTGTTACTATCGTTAGATTCCCACGGCAAGAGTTGCCGTTGCAGTTGTTCTTTCTCGTTGATCCTGTTCAAATAATATCTCTCATCGCTTGTGTAAGATGTGGGAGAACATCGGGATCCGATAGCATCTCGAGGCATGACATGGGGCCCTTCCGTTTGTATGTAAGAAGGAAGTTGTCAACCGCGGGATTGCTTCTTCCGTTCACTGCGTTATCGTCCATTCGTGTCACTATTTCTGGACTCAATATTCCGTGGGCTGCCCCGTGCATCTGAGAGGATCGCTGTCGCCGGGAAGGAACCGCTAAACCAGCGTCTGTATTCACAGCAGCTTGCGATAATCCAGCTTTACGAAGATTATCCGACGAGTTTTTGTTTACATCCGGTGAAGTCGAAGATCCAGCGTGTTTGGGTGCAGACTTCTTCACGCCAAAGCTTCTGCGATAGTCGTGGCTGTTCGTGTACGCGTTAGATCTTGCACTACATAGGAAAACAGCGAAGAAGAGAAGGCTCTTGAATTGGGAGGCGGCCATCTTTATTGTTTTGCGTGTTGCGGCGAGCAGATATTTATCCAGAAATTTATATGTATATCCTGATTTTATGTTGTCGGATGGTGTTCAGTGTGATGTTATGTTTGTTCTGTGGAAAGGATTCGGATTGTTCCTTACTCCAGTGAAAGGAAGGGGATCACAATAGTGTTACAGTATTGAAATTATCTGTTCGTTACGTGCGGTCTGCGTTTGTATCTTTACTGGCTCCGTATGTTATTACAAGTCCCGGGCGTTGACAAATTTTGTCTACGAAGASAGCAATAACACGTCAAACCGTCTGTCATCACCACGGCTTGAGTTACAAAAATGAGCCTTGATGACCTCCCATTTCTGTCATCTTGCGTCAGTGAACCAATTGTTCTATGATCTAGTATGGAATTTTCGTACATTATGTTGTCTTGTGGTGACAGGACCTCTGACGTAAGCTCATCGAATTAATGATCATTTGTTTTTAATGAATCCATTCCCTCACTGACGTATTTGAAGTGTCAGACCCAATCACAGGAGAGAAGAACATAGCATATGGTATTGGATCGTCCAATGGGAGGATGATGGCTGCATCATTTCAGACAGGAACATCTGTTTCTTTCCATCCGACAAATATTTCCGAGCGAATCAAATAATAATCTGAAGAAGCATACGACTTGATTGGCCAAGAAAAAATGTGATTTGATGCAGATTTTACAAGTGTGTCGGTACCGTACCGTACGCTACAACGAAGGATACAAGTTAGTCCTCGGCCCCCCGTTCATATTCTGTTGAGGATCGATAACCCAAAACTGAATAGCTGAAATAACAAAAAATATGACATTTTGAAGGAATTGGTAAGCCATAACAATACAACATCATGAACATATGTGCAATACAATTAACTATCAGGCTAAATAAAAAATTACTAGCTCATCCCATGCAAAATCTGCAGATGCTCTTTGTTAGTGTCACATAACAACATGATGAGGATAATAACAGGCGGAGGACGAGGCAAACAACAAGAAGAAGAAGAGGAATGACAAGATGGACAGCACCCCCCCCAGCAAGAACAAGGAGAAGAAGGTTATTTGTAGTACTAACCACCATCACTAGCACTACTAGAACTACTACTAGTAATATCTACTCAGGATTTAGCTCCATACTACTGCCTCTGTCCAAAAATAATATATGCAATTGCTTGGTGGCCATAGTACTCTTTGTTTTTTTCAAAAATAATTGTCCAACAATATTTTTTACACACCAGTTTTTGGAGGAGGAGTTTTTGGCAGTTGGATTTCTCAAATGACTGTGTACTAGTAGAACAAAATCATGCAGGATTGTCAGTAGTASTACTAGTAGTAGAGACTACTAGAAATGAAATGAGCATGCTGTCATGATAAAAATTATTTTATTTTTACACATGAATACAACACTCACCATCTATCATTGTCATGGCAGACTGAAGTTTGCAATGACAATGGTAGTACTGAGTACCTCCTCTTTGGAACAAAAATGACCCATGATGCAAGGAAGTACTTTAGTAACAAGTAGCGATACTAATTTGATGAAGTAAAGCCTTAAAAAAATTCCACTCTTTATTTGTTACCAATATTGTTATGTGCAAGTGGCTGAAAGCATCTGACGCAAAAATCATACTATTCTTTTATGGAAAAAATTGCTAGTATGTGCTTTTCTTAAAGGGTTATTTCATTAAGTACTGGTGGCACAAACACTTCTAGTATGGATTGCACATATATTGTATCAGAATAGAGGAGTGTAGTAGTAGTAATRAGAAAGAACCATCAAAATTGCCCTAATGTTGAGCTTAGTAATTCAACTCGGTTGGTGCAAACTGTACAATTATTTTTGGACAGAAGYAATAGTAGTAGTTAATAACCTAACTCTTCACTGTAAACCATGTATTATTTTACACTAACAGAGCATATCAGTATTTCATAGGTTATGAGCAACTAATACAAGGACTTAACTCATCATCAAAACCAAGTCACAGCATTTTACATCAGTAACAACAATTTATCATACTAAGCAGTAATTTCAATCACTGTGCTGTGAAACAATTTTAGGATACATCTAATTTTGATTGGGCTAGCAGAATTGGAGTCATCCTATTAGTTTATTCGTCGTTCCATGTCCACCACTGCTTTGTGTCTGCTAATGATGCCATGCTCCAATTTGATGCGATTTCTCAAGAACTACGATTGAGCTAGAAACAATTGAAAGATTGCCAGAAATAATGGCAACAGGAAGGCCAAGATATTACACCGTTGATAACATAACTGCATTGTGATCGCCACRCACCGGCAGTGGGTGCTGTCGTATCTGCGCCGCTAAAGACTGTTCAAAGCGCCACGGATGTGAACTGCAGAGAACGCTACCATTCGAAATGATGACAACCAAACACGGTGTTCCATGTTAGTATCTTAGGGGACAGATCGGTTGCCGCTGGTTCCATGAATCTAGCAGATTTGATTCCGCGGGCGAAAGCAACGAACTCAACCCCATCATTAGTAATAGCATCTCATTGAAAATTTATTCGACAAAAGTTCAACGCCTTTGTTTTGTTTCGACTCACTCGAGAATCGTAACGATGATATACCAGTRAGCATTGCAATCCTTTTAAAAAACCGCTCCTATTTTTCTCGACATCTCCTTTCAATTTCAGCTTGAAATGGAGTACTCGCTTGCAAACGGATGTCACTCAATGGTTGTCTGTTATTCTCCATTCAAAAACAAAATTCATCCAGGCATTCATTCGCTGATTGATAAATGCCATCCATGTCAGTCGTAGATTGCATTGGCATCGTTTTCTTTCCACATAGATTCGTGCAGGGAGACCGGACACGTCCCAAATTCTCCCTCGCCAACACTCTTCCGCCATTCCACGCCGCGAATCCTAGCAATCAGTTGCTCGGGTCCGAATTCGACGTCTTCTAGGGGCTCCTTGAGGAACAAGACGCTGCTGCCACAATTCTCGCCGGCGTCCGTGTCTGCACCAACGGCCAATCCACGGAGGACTCCGTGCTCGCAGTTGTGTGTCCAAACGACCTGGATGGTGTCGATGCGGCACAGCTCGTACGAGGGCGCCGCGCCTTCTCCCGCGTCTCCCACCAGCACGCCGTCTACGTACCACGATCCGGTGCGGTAGAMGACCGTGTCCCCCTCTTCCACAACCGCCGACAGGTGGTATTCTCCACGACCAAAGGTGRGTGCATCGGACTGGTAGTCGATGCTGTCCGTGGTGGCAGACAACGCCGGGGGGACCCCTAAAAGCGTTCTGTTTTTCGTCGTTGGTGTTGCTGCTTCTGCTGTCGTTCTTGGGATCCCAACAACGGCACCGACGCGGAGGGGAGCGGTCCATGCAAACGAATGKACCGAAAGAMCACAAAGTTGGTTACCGAGAAGGGCAACCACGGCCAACCATAGCAGAAAGAAAACAAAAGAACCTAGGATGGCCAACGGAAAAGACGACACCTTCCGCATCGCTATGCATGCAGTYGTTGGCATTTATCTTGTCCACTAGTAAACGCAACAGTGTGCTTTTCTTCTGGTGTTTTTGAWGAAGCCTATATCGTGTATGTCGCTGCCACTCTCCGCGGGTAGACGGAAGTTGAACAATCGGAAATCGGCAAGTGCAGTGCCGGTTTCTGTATCGCAGAGTATCGTAACAAACATATCGTACTTCCAATTTCTCTTCGACAACGAGTCATTTGCGATCGTACATACAGACTGTACAAGTACCGTAGGTACGTCGCGAACTCGTACAGTAATCGAAAAACTTCCTAACTGTGACCTCAAAAAACGAATGTGTCACCCATCTCGATGTGATTGATGCCCGAGCGATGTAGAGAGTCTTCGGGAAACTAGCCGAATGCGCCTTGAAAATATTTCTTGTGCAAGTTTTCTTTAAGGATCCATTTGAATGACATTCCGCGTCGCGTATACTTATATCGTACGGTACTACGTAGGAKAGTACTGGTTCCTGGCACAAAATGTGCGCGCATACCGCGCGAACAACAAAAAAGGACAACATTTTTTCGATTTTCTATTTTACGGCATATTTTTCTTTTTCCTTCCAAACGAGCATGAACGAAGATTACTTCCTCTCTATGATCTTCTAGTCTTCGCATCCGTGCCCAAGAAAATCTAGTCATTCGGATCCCAAACTTATTCCAATCGTCAAAATCACGATACGAATAGGATTCCAATTCTCATTTCGACGACCTATCCGACACTAATAACACATTCTAACAAACACGGCAGCGCAAGCAAGCAACTGCAAGACCCAAAACACACCGCAAAYAGCACAAACTACTACTCTACACTTCCTAAAACACAATGTCCTCGGATTCGAAACCATACACTCCCGATCCCAACTTTGACTACGACCTGGTCGTAATCGGCGGGGGCTCCGGCGGCGTTCGGGCTTCCCGAATGGCCGCCGGTCACGGCGCCAAGACTCTCCTGATCGAGGGCCAGATGAAACACGGGCCACCGAACTACTCGGCCATCGGTGGAACCTGCGTCAACGTCGGTTGTGTCCCCAAAAAGCTCATGGTCTTTGCCTCTAGGTACCCGGGGTCTATCGCCGAAGCCAAGGGATACGGATGGGACGGCGCCAAACCCGGAACCTTTTCTTGGGACACCTTTATGGAGGCAAAGGATGCCGAGATTTCGCGCCTCAACAACATCTACAACGAATTTGTCCTWAAACGGGCGGGCGTCGAGGTATGCGAGGGACTCGGCAAGCTCAACGGCAAGAACAAAGTGGACATTGCCCTGCCGGACGGAAGTAGCAAGACTGTCTCGGCCAAGAACGTGCTCATCGCTGTGGGTGGGTGGCCCTTCAAGCCTGACATTCCYGGGATCGAGCACACCATCACCTCAAACGAGATCTTCTACCTGAAGGAGCAGCCCAAGCGGATGGTGATTGTTGGAGGTGGATTCATCGCGTGCGAATTCGCCCAGATCATGCACGGCCTGGGGACCAAGGTTACACTCATGTACCGAAAGGATCTGTTCCTGAGGGGCTTTGACATGGACATGCGCAAGCACATCTACGAGGAAATGAGCCGGACCACCGACATCGACATCMAGTTCAATACCAACCCGACGGAAATCAAAAAGAACGACGACGGGTCGTTCACGGTTGTCACGGAAGGAGGCAGCGTGGACTGCGATCAGGTCATGTACGCCACCGGCCGCGTAGGAAAATCGGACAACATCGGCCTCGAAACCGTCCCCGAGCTGGTCACCAAGGGATCCTTTATCCCCGTGGACGAGTACTCCCAGACAAACGTCCCCGGGATCTACGCGGTCGGTGATATCACCGATCGCATGGCGCTGACGCCTGTTGCTCTCATGGAGGGCCACTCCCTGGCCGACACACTCTTTGGGGGGATGGATCGCCCTGTCGACCACGAGTTTGTGGCCTCGACCGTCTTTACGACCCCGGAGCTTGGGACCGTCGGCTACACGGAGGAACAAGCCGTGGAGAAGTACAAGGACATCAGGGTCTTTAAGACCCGGTTCCGGCCCATGGCGCACTCTTTTCCCAAGTCGGAAATGTACACTATGATGAAAGTTATTGTGGATTCGGCCACCGACAGGGTCGTAGGCTGCCACATTGCCACCGATGGAGCGGGGGAAATGATCCAGGGGGTTGCCATTGCCGTCAAGATGGGGGCCACCAAAAAGGATTTCGACAAGACGATCGGCATCCACCCAACCTCTGCCGAGGAACTTGTTACCATGCGATCTCCATCCTACTCGTACAAGGACGGCGAGAAAGTGGAAAAATGAACCGATTCGGTTGCGGCGAAACGAAGCAAGTTGTGAAAGGAAACTACACGAAGCTTTTTGCGTTGGAAACAGAAGCACTGCGTTGTGCAATGTACAGATGTGACCCTTTCATAGTATGAAGACAATMAATCCAACACATGTGTCAATTATTGGACTGGTTCGGTCTGAATTCATTTGATGATATATTGTCTACTTGTAGTAACATAAAGTTACAATCCACGATTCGGAAAAGCTCTTATGAGGATCAAGCAAAATTACTGCTGTAACAACGTATTGTTCGTGAATTCGAACTAAATTTAATGTGGATTAGTCTTCTTTTTGGTATGTAATTTAAAAAATCGAGATCGGATAGACCTCCTTGTGTTTGTATTCGCTCCTTCTGGTCGATACTTCTCCCAGTTCGAACTTAGACAGTTGGCTGCCAGCCATTGTTTGCTTTCGTTGTACACGAGGTTTTGGTGTTTCCCGTRACTCATCGAAACGTAGATCCCAGCTCAAAAATCCTGCGGAGGTGCCAACAAAGGTGAGTACGCGTCTGCATGTGCATTTTTGTTTTATTTTGCCACCGAGATTCCCCATTMGTTTGCTGGGAGATCTTCTTTTTGTTGCGTTTRCATATATGAATAGCTTGCCCTGCACGACAATTTTTTCGTCTCGGCTCGGTTCAGTTCGTTTCGTTACATACACGATTGCTGTCTCGTGGCCAATCTTAGGACGGAAAGGCTCGCGTCAAGGGTTCGAACAAGATGGCTGTGGGAATCCACGGCAGACGAATCCTCTCCAGCGCGATCGCGACCCGGCATTTCTAAATCYCTTTCGGCGAACGGAAACGATGCCAGGGTTTTCACTGTTTCATCGCCTTCCTCTCTACCATGCAGTGTTTCTGTCCCGCCCAAACAAGGCGACGGCGAGGCTCGAACAGCTTGGTTCTGAAATCCGCTCGGAGCTCCTAGCAAAGGAATGGACGGTTTGTGTTGAAAATCATMGGTTTCCCACCTGAAGTTTGGGATTCCGTCCCCAGGGAAACGAAAACTATCGAAGGAGAAGCCAGTCATGAGGCTGCCTGGAAGCACAAAATTGTTGCCTCTGCTTCTTCGCAGCCCGCCCATACCACCCGAGGAACGTCTCATCGACAAACTCCTCAAAAGCGTATTAGCGACATCAAGAGAAGAGGCACGCCGTCTCATCTCCATCTTGATCCTTCGTGCWACGATGAACCGACACAARTCAGGTTTGCCGCGAATGAGGAGCTTGTGGGTATATGATCCTCCGATCGCGTCGCTGACCGGCAGCCGCTCGAAGCCATGAAGATGCACTACCATAGATTTCCATCGTCGAATGATAAAAGTTGAGAGAACTCCACAAAGAAGCCAAAGTATGTGTCGAAAACAATTCCACAAAATAACAGAAGTCCGATTCTGAAGTGCCATACTTACGCTGTTTTCGAAAGCTCTTATAATTGGTTTGATTGAAATACTCTTTCATTAAAAAATCTTCAAACTTCTTCGGTTTGTGAATTGCAAACGCTCTTTTGCCTTCCCACGAAAYGATATCCTCAAATCCTTGTCGCTCACTTTCATCTAGTGCGATATGGATTTTCCAAGGAAAYGTARATTCTATGCTCTCGTTGGGAGCTATTGCRTTGCAGGATGCTGTTGATTGATAGCTGTCCACCATCCTTTCTACTCTTTCTGTTCTTCTTTTCTCATGTTTGATCTGAGCATGTTTTATCTCATTTACACCGCTCGCAGATATATCGTCTGTATTGTCATTCTCACCATGGAGAAATTTCAAATTTGTCACCGACGAAAGTGACAAWTTCGGCCGAATCGTTGAATACACGGGAAACGAATGACGAAAATTTAATGGGCRGGATTTTCGCAAGACACAAAAAATAATATTAGAACGCGTCTGAAAGTTCATCGACGTAACAACCATATTAGAAAAATCYCTCTTCGCTGTAGAAGACTTGGAAAGGTGGGACGGTAATCGCTTTTCTTTGAGATCGATAATTGTYGATGAAATAAAAGTATCTAGAAACTGGAAATGATATTTTATGCGACGATGTATTWCAGAAWTTCTTAAAGATTACGAAACATTGCGCTTAAGTATCCAAACAGTATTACTTTAGTCAAATTCTCTGTTTAAGACCCACAATGTTTTGAAGAATTATGACTCTCATTAACGTTTAAACTTCATTCGACAATGACTTTTGTTCATCCTTTAGGGCTATGATGATCCTTTCATGGGATCATTCTAAACCAATTAGAGTTTCTCAAGGAATCGAAATGAATCGAATGAATCAACAGACGAATCCCTTTTGGGTGTTCTTGTCTCACTTGCTTTCGTTATGAACCACGTTGAAACTAATTTTTTTTTAAGGTAGACGATGTTCTATCGTGTGTCAGAAGAAGGACCAACAAGACACACAACTCTACCGTGAACCTAGCTATTTGAGTTTTTGCCAGCTATAATAGTGAAGCCAATAAGGGGGAACTCTCACTACTAATTTAATCGATAGCGAAATAATTATGAGCAATGACACCAATGCTGTCGTYAGTCCCGAAGCAAATGTGTCGGTGGCGACAGTAGCAACAGAGTACTTTTTTCTGGTTGGTGATATTGGGGGGACGAATAGTCGCCTCGCCCTCTATAGACACAAGGAAGAAAAGAAGAAAAGATTCGATGTCAACGATTCAAATGCTGTCAGCGACAGTGAGGTCGACAATCGTCATCTGCTTGGAATGTACCATCGGCCATTATTTACTCAAGACTATCGGAACGAAGAAGTTCTAGCAAACGATGAAGAAACAGATACATGCGACACTCATTGTARTGCTGTGAGTAGCAGCAGCAGTGGGGGCGGCAGTGACAGCAGTAGAGCTAATAAGAATGTGACGAAATTTGTCGAAAAAATCATTGGTCCGTTCCTAGAAGAGTGCTGGGAAGCCATGGTTGCGTCTTTGTCTGCGTCTACCAATGTGTCAGCAAATGATGCTATTCATAAGTCTCCCAGCAATATTGACAAAATCAAGAGCAAAAATCTTAACAACGAGAAGAATCACATGATGGAAATATCCATTGTGTGCTGCTTGGCGATTGCTGGACCCGTTGATACCAACCTGAATAGCGGAACGGTCCTAACCAGCCAACGTGATTCTTTTTTGACAGGTCTGAATGGGATGGGAATTTTAAAAGAGTTGATGCATCACCCTCGTTGTCGGAAGACAAGTAAGCTCCGACCCACTTTCAAGGCGTGTGTGATCATTAATGATTTTATGGCACAAGGGTACGGATGTTGCTTGTCGCTATCTACGACTTCAATATCTACGGAATCAGAATCATCATCGTCGGTTGTAGAACTGAAACRAATCGATAGCAACAGCAGTGTAACTCGATTGGCTTCAAAATCTGGTCCTAAACTTTGTGTAGGTGCTGGTACGGGATTTGGGTCGTGCTACTTGGTCCCAATGTCAACGAYAAGCAGCAATATCTATTCATGCTTGCCATCTGAGTTCGGGCAAACGGAATGGGTTCCMAACACTGCCAATATTGCAGATCAGAGAGAAGGCAAGAATGGCGATGACGATCAAGTTGAGCTCTGGAAATATTTACTGAACCAAAAACTACAGAGGGGAGAAACGGCACGACTTTCGGTAGAGGACGTGGTGTCAGGAGTTGGTCTCGCCAATGCATATTCTTGTTTTTCGAATTTGTATCCTCACAAGGTGAATCCAGCAGTACAAGAACAATTCAATTCATCAAGCGACCTCCGAGGAAAAATAGTGGGGKCCAACGCTAATAATTGCGAAATTTGTAAAAGAGCAATGGATGCTGTCATCATGTAAGTGTTTTATACAAAAGTGGAAACAATTTGTGAAAAGCAAATAAGAGAAAAGTACTRCTCAATATTGCATAAATTTTTGGTTACATGCAAATGGTCTGACTATAAACTATTGAATTTTCATGATTTGATGGATCCTCGTGTTCCCGAAATATGAATCATTTTGACAATAATATCACGATTACAAAACACATGCAGCGCTTACGGGACGGTCGTCGGATCGTGTGCAATGACATTCTTACCATCTGGTGGAKTGTACATTACCGGTGGCTTGCTTGTAAATCTCCTAGAAACGAATGATCCTTCTTGGAAGATGCGTTCTGCGAACAACCTTGAGGACGACGAGAATGGGTCGTTGTCACCGACATCACCAATATTGTCGTTGTTTCTCAAGTCCTATCGTTCCAAAGGAAGAGCATCCTTTTTGCTAGATAGTGTTCCACTCTACATTGTTCTAGCGAAAGATGCAGGTCTTCGTGGTGCCGCTGTTCACGCCGAAATGGTACGTATCAARTTCGCTTTTATCATGATTTCAATCAATACTTGATGAGAATCAAACAAAAGCTTTAAAATTCGAACGATCTAAATATCATCTTTTCCACTTMTTGATCACGTGTAAYTTCGTTCAACAGGTATTGCAAACTTTWCCCTTTAATTCGCTACGATAATATGGTGTAATTGTATTGGCTARACAGTTAGGGTTTGAATGGTTGAAATGTACATTACGAGGAACTAACAGTAATTTGGAACTTAGCATGTGATGATGCCCGTTTCCAGTACGTCTTATTTCTATTATCATTGCAATAGTCTGTTTCGATTTCAATCTGATTGGAATTTCCAGGTTTTGTGGTGGAAGCAATGGCATTCCCAACCGTCAATGACTTTAARTTGCCAATTAGATTAAGCGACCTGTAGATCGAAGGATTCTAACTCTTGATTGAAACTTGGATCCTTCTCGATGCTCCCATACTTTGTATTAGTTCTTCTTCATTCTTTCCAACCAATCTACCTCGAAGTCTGTCAATCTCAAACCGTTTTTGATTTTGAGGGAMAGTCCATGAAGGTAGRCATTGTCAACATYAAATCTTGAGTTTATGGGCCTCTTCAAAGCTGYYAGCTCCTTGCGTCGTGCCGTAATCATTTCAATCAACTCCAAAAGTTTACCGTTGATGGAAAGGTCTCTGGACGAATGCATGACCGCACTATAGGATGATGGTGCCAATGTAACCCTACATTTTYCCTTCAAATAGTTAGAATCGACTGTGCCTTTCAATTCCCAATTAGAAGATACTATTGATGGGTGTGAAGCCAAACAATATSTTRTTGGGGAAACTAAGAAGTTCGTTTGTAGAGCTCTAACCTTTTGAGTAATCGTGGCATCTGATCCTTGACRAGAATTAGAAGCTACCGATTGCTTCCACTTATTTAACATTTCGAGTTCACCCGKCTCGAGGCTTACCGACGAGCTCCTACTCGAAATTACCCGTTGGATACCATTGGGAGGTACGTTAGTCGCTGGGTGCGATGTATTTTCGTCTGGTGGAAGAAATCGTTGTTTCTTTGGTTTGTTTTCAAAACCTTTAARTAAGAAGTCATTAAGATCGTGAGATCTTTTGGAGCGCTTCTGTGTAAAACTTTCTTTGATTCTGGATRTTTCTCGCTTTACGATAGAGAAAACGTCTCCAACAATCTCTTTCATAGGACATCCGGACAARCTTTCCATTTCTYCCGTTTTCGCATAATGASTTCCRTCGTTGAAMCTCGAGTCGACGTGATTGAAACAATCAAATTGATGCGGCGGTGGCTTCATCGAGAAGAAGTGATTCCTATCTTGAGTTTTTTTTKKTTGTACCATGCGCGAGAWAATACTTTCCTTTTCGCTGGGAGACTTGGGAATTTCATAGAATGATTTGAATCTCCTAATAGATTCTCGAGACAAGTCGTTGTWGCAGGTTTTTATCTTTRMGCAATTTTCTCGCTTATCTCCGACGCCAATATCGCATCCTGCATGATTGTTAATCCTTAGTATGATCTTTCGCACATYTTTTTCCGTAGCTAGATCGTCACAACAATGGGCACTGTTGTCAACACAGCCAAGCTCTTGTGCCCCAACTGTCTCCGGATTTTGCTCATGACATTGCTTTCGCTTCAGAATTTTACGATTGCTCCGGAATGAGTGGCCAATCTTATACTCAACCTGGCTGTTGGGCACAGCAACCCATRCAACTGGTATTCTGTCCAARTTTTCTTTGAAAAAACGATATCCTCTTTTCGCAAAGACTTCTGATACCAGTTTGATGACCTCTTTCTTTCCATCTCTCGACTTGGCTTGTTCATACATTTCTTGGTAGTCGGTGATGATCTTACGAAAGGCAACATTAGCTTCTCTTCGTTGGACGCGCTGCCCCCTTCCGAAACAAATRTCCTTCTGAGGCGAAAGATCTTCTTCTGCGCAATACTTAGAACTGCTGCAACGGCGACGATTATTCAATTCGTCTTGCTCCTTACGTTTTTCGCGAGTAACATTATCCGAGGCTTGAGTCTCGATTGTCTTTGGCACACTGTTCAACTGGAGTGTTTCCCGTTGCTTTTGCGCATGTAGTTGCTGTTGCTGTTGTAGAGGCATTTGCTTCCGTTGTTGGTACTGATCACGGAGAATCAATGCCAAAAGAGACGGAGTATCCTGCATCATCTTGTACTCTTCCGTTTGCACAGCAGATGTTCCGAATCCCTTTGTATTGCCTCTTACCGAACCAAGGCCACTTTCTATCTTACGTTGCCATTGATCCTGCAAATTTGATGGATCCAAATCATTGTCCATGTTGAACAACTCTTTGCGTATGGACGAGGGGAACGTTGAATCCATATTGATATCCAGTGATATCCAGCGATGTCTTTTTGTTTTGGTACAATATTGTGATAAAAATTGGTAAACGGTGCATTAGATGACCCAACCTCAGCTATTGTACTCAAATAATTTGAAAAGTGTGAAGAATAATGATTTCGTGCAAAATAGCTTGGCTTTGAAGTTTGTATTTAATTAATGAGACCGGATCATGGGTAATTAATGAGACCGGATCATGCTCTTACTTAAAAGCTCTAACGAAAATACTATTAATTTGATTGGAAAATAAGAAAATGCTCTCCTTCGAAATAATACGAATATTTTGGCTTTAATAATCATAAAGTGTCCTTGGTCTATGATCTCAAGAGACCAGATAATGTTCTTCGATATTGCGGGCAAGAGAATACGTGAGCATTAAGTTTTTATTCTTTAATGATATTCTTGAACTTCGAATATTTCATTCCACAGGGCGACTAAGTAACAAACTTCCGGGAATACAGTACAATAGAATTACATTATTACTATTGGTCTCAAGGATATGTACCTCGTCGAACTTAAAAAAATTACAATTGCCTTTCTATCATGATATATTTCGATGAGAATGGTAATTTCAAAGGGCATGAGCAGATTGTGATTCTTGAGAGATTCAAGAGATCACGTTGTAACCAATTTTGAAAGAGAACATGACGTGCCAATGCATTCGCCGAGCATCTGTGATTTCAAATCTTATTGGAAGTTCGACATCGTTCGCACTGTTCTTTTTTTTCAAGGTTTCGTTAATCAAGATAGTTTCTTCTCATCGATAGCAAGAATCCAGCCAAATTCACTTAAATTAATTTTTACTAAAATTCTCCTTATATCTTTCCAAAAGGAAGTTCTTCTATGATCTTACCGTTCTTCTTTTTCAAGGTTTCGTCAATCAAGATTGTTTCTTCTCATCTATAGTCCGTTAGAAGCAAGAATCCTGTTGATCAGAAGTAATACGAATTGTAGTAAAATAGAAGGAATCTTGGAAATTTGATTGGAGATTCGCTGTTTTTCGTTATATTCCTATATACAAGGTTAGTCTAAATCTCTCGTTAGTAATTCTACTGATATGATTGTGATATTCTTCTATGGTTTCCTTCATAGAAAAAAATAAAAGGCAAGTCCCCGTACAAATACTAATAGATATTTTTAGCTCATTCTTACAGTTAAAACCAGTTAAAAAAGGCATCCAACGGACGAAAATAAAAATATTTCCATTGTTTAATTTCTCGTTCCCAATGGGTGATTCCCGCAAACATATATCTGTGTAAAAATGAGACCGGCCGGCTCGAAAAAATATGTAAAGTACACAGATTTTGGTTGTCGTGGGCC